GGCTGCTGCATTGTAGTTGTTTTGCCAAAGAAATGACCCGCAAAGCACTTCAGTGCTGAGATGTTGAGCTGAGCTCCAAAGCCTTCATTCTAAATTGGCTGTAGTCTGAATTGATCACCTTCAGGTTAAAAAAAAAAAATCAAAAAACCCCAACCAAACCCCAACCAAAAAAACCCCACCCTAAAACCACTCCCCCAGTCGCTACCTCCCTTGCTCACAAAGAAACCAACCCCAAATAGTGCCAGTATCTTGTTTCCCTCTCCCCTGGCCATCCACAATGCAGAAATTATGTGAAATACATCAAAATATTCCTAAAAAACATGTTAATCCTGCAGTTGACTCAGGAGTCAGGGTCAGGCTAACCTGCTGCGGACGCTTTGCTGCCCACTTGGAAAGGAACAAGCTAGTACAGGTGCAGGTAGCAGTGAACTTGGGGGATCGATGGAAGAGGTCATGAGCAAACCTGGCTTCTGCGTGCTTTAGCAGGACTTCTTCCATCTATGGGTTATCCTCACCCCTCCACCCAGTTTTCTGTGGAAGTGGGGCTTGTTCAGTCTGTCTTTTCTGGAACTGTATTTTTTTTTTTTTTTTTTTTTTTTTTTCAGCTTGTTGGTTGACCATGGGTTGCTGAAGGTGGTTGACTTCTCTGGAATTTTTTGGGAGTCTGGTGAAAATTAGGAACTTGTGGGAAGGAGCATTAGTTTGAACATCTACAAGCATGCAAGGTGTGATCCTTTTTTGTCTAGTTCCTTGGCAGCCTCCTAAGATAACACCAAGTAGTTGGGATGTACCCTACAAGGAGGAGGCTGCTGTAGGAATCAAGTGTTTCCACATGGAAGTAATGGAACATCTTGGTATAAATTAACTAGTTTATGAGGAATCTCGCTTTATTAGCTCCTTGATCATGGATGGGTTTCTTGGTTATGATAGATGCATCTTTTGCCTTGTTGGTAAGGCCTTGAACAAAAATGGACACAGGTGATTTAGGGGAATGAGCAGATGCTTACATCCCTGATATAAGGGAGGAGTCTCTTTATCCTTGTGGGGGATAAAAAGCCATTTGCTTTGTTTTCCATTTGTATGGCATGTGTATCTGGAGGTCTCGGGCTTCTTACTGGGCAGATTAGTCTCCCATGCATTTGTTGGCTGTGGCTGCTACTTGCCTCTCCACCAGCAGACTGATGCATCTCTATCGTCACAAATTTTAGAGTCAGGGCCGGTGTAAGCAGTCAGTCCCTAGTGAAAAGGACTTCTGTAAGAGAAGCCAAGCAGCCTAACTCAGCTACTGGATCCTTCTCTGTTATTTTCATTAGACCGAGGGTCAGAGGCATGTGGCAGGGCTATAGATTTACTTAGTTCCTGAAGCTCACGTCTGCCTCTGTTCTTATGTACCTCCTGTCAGCCTCGGCCAGGAGCTCTGGTCTTGGATTATGGTTCATTGAGAGAAATTTTATGGCAGCTGTTGAAACTACATTCAACTTACTTTCAAATACAAGACTTTTTTTGAAGAATAAAAGCAAAAGCTTTGGCAAAAATGCTAACTGATAATGACTATCCTAATTACATTGTGAATATTAGTATTTCTTCCTATGAAAGACTTGTCTGAATTAAACATAAAGGATTTCTAAAATAATTGCAAACTTTTAAAGCCACATGTGTCACAATTTCTTCAAAAATGAATTACCAACCTAAAGTTAAACAGATCAAAGACTTTTACTTTATAGACTGTTACCCTGGAACAGCTGCACAATACAGGTGAATTGCATGTATTTAAATTTTCACTGTAACAAAGCAGTGTATTTTCAGCAAGCTATGACCATTAACTATTCAAAAACATTTTAAATCTAATCTCTAAATACAAATCTTTTGCATGCAAATAGGATTTTTCTAAGATTTAACTGTTAATTTAAGAATTTGAGAATTATAAGCATTGTATGCTGCTGCATTTTTGAGGTTTTTTTGGAAGATACATATTTTGATTTTTTTCAGGGATTTTTTTTTTTTAACTGTAAAAGAGAAGTAACTTACTGCTTGTTTCCTTATCTTTTATTCTATTTATTTTCTAGTAGTTCTTCTGTCTTTTAGTCTGCTTTCATTACCATACCAAAAAATTATGTAAGTAACATGGCCTGGCAGTTTTACTGCTTTGTGACTACTGAGATGTTGCTGACCAGCAGTGTTCTCCTAAATGTTCATCTTGCTTTAAATTTGATGGCTACTGACCTGAACACTTCTGTTACTCAGTAGCTTGCATATGGATCAATATAAAGCATGTGTGGTCTTCTTTCAAACAGTTATTCCTGGGAATCAGAGAGATCTGTGAAGCTCAAAAAAAAACAAAAAAAAAACCAAAAAAACCCCACCTAACCCACTAAACTCTATCTTGATGCATATCAGAGGTAAAGCTGTGTTGTTTCAGAATGTGCCTTGAAAGGAGGAAATTCAATAGGGAGCCATCTTACTTTCCAAAAATTTTAACTATGGAAGATTAGCTTGAAGGCTTTTTGTTAACTTTGATCTTTCTATAAATTTGCCTGTTCATAATGTGTTTTGGTTTCTGGTGTGTTTTTCCCTGCAATCAATCCTTGAAAACTATCCACTTTGAAGCATTTTTGTTTCCCCCTTTATGTAGTATTTCTGGTTTTCCTTTGCTAACTGATGTGTGAAACTAATAAAACACTAGAGGGGTGCTGGATGTACAAAGTACAACTTCTCATTTGTGAGGCTATCGCCATCCCGTTATCAGTCTTTTTGGTAGACCTGCATGCCTGATTGCAGACCACAGGTTTCACTGCCATACAGGTTCCACTCCCTGGCTGGCGGGTTATTTAGTAAGCTCTTGCTTTGTTTAAGAACCAAATGTAATTATTTGACTTGTTGTTTAAAGGTACACTTGTTTCCTAAAAGAAGTTTTATGTGTACTGGTTGACCATTCTGAAATGTGTTTTCTGTTCTATTCATAGAGAAGTTGCTTCCCTAGTATATAATTTTCAAATTCTTTGTCAGGATAATGAGGAGAGGAATAAAAATGGACGTGCTTGTATATTTTTATAATGATAAAATAAAGTCTTTATTTGCTATATTGTTTACTCCCCTTTATTGCAGATGTCTGACTGACTTTCAATACCTACTCTACTGTTTTGAGTCACAGGTATTTTTCCCCCTGTTTCTTAGCATTTTAGGGGTGTTTAAA